TTTGTCTTTGTCAAGGAAATGAAAACAGAAAAATACAGGAAATAAATGGTTACTTAACAATACTGTCATTTTCCCCTCTCTCTCTCATTGTGGTGATAAATCATTTCCTGCTGTTCTTCCATTCTCCAGCTAAGCAGTACAGTATTTCAAGTCCCACATCACGGCCACCCCACCCCACGAGCTGTTGCTAAGTGAAAATACAACAATGTTGGCAACAGTTTGAGAAGTCGGAGAGCTACATTTAATAGGCAGACAGCCTATTAGCTTGGCAGCAAGTTAGTAAAACTACCGAGGCATCAATGCTGGTTGTTTCCATACATACACCCACTCAGCAGCAAACATGCACTGTTTGGCAGCCAACACACATTCATCCAAAGGGATTCCAAACGCTGTTTTGTTGTTTTATTTATCCATCATGTGCTCTTCAAGGCTGGGACAGGGAACCCACACTTGCTCCTGAAGGCTGAAGGCCACCCTTTTCAGTCTGTTTCCCCCTAAACTGGCTCACAGCATAAACTTGTACTCACTCTCTCGTCCACAATCACTTCAACACAGCCAGAATTTGTATGCATCCCTAAAGTTCAAAGCAAGCTGGGAACAAGAATACAGGTATTGTTTCCTTTTCCTGACAGCTGTTTTCCGATTTAGTCTTTGGGATTCAAAATGCCTGTGCTTCCCTGCAAAGGGAAGCTTCTGCTGCTTCACAGAGCATCTTACAGAAGTGACAACTTCGTTGTCTTCTACCCTTTCATGGGATGGGAAACTAGATGTCCTGCCTGCCAGAAGCACAACATAGGTATCATACCTATCTATGAAAGGACAGCAGGTGGCTCAGGTACTGGGCAAAACAGGAGATTGTAACTTTCTCCAAGACTGGGGGTCTTGTAGAAGACACACATTAACACCAGTGTACATAGCAAGCAGCAAGAAGGCAAACTGCTAGCTTAAAGTTAATGGTGCCTATGCAGGTTCAAGGACTTGAAAGGCAATCACATCCAAGCCACACAGTGTGCATACGGACACCTCAAGTGTTATGTTGGCATGATGAGGTAACATTTACAAATCTTTAAATCAGTATCTGACGAGCTCAGACACAGAGTTTCCCACAATGCATGGAATCTAATATATGGCTGCAACAAGATTACTTATAAAACGTTTATCCCACTTAATGTAATAGAAATCTCTAGGCAGTTTACTTAAAAACAATGGGTTGTATTCAGAGTAGTGCTAAGAAAATCATTCTGTCAGCACAAAGATTTCTCCTCCTCTCTTCTTGCCATGCCCCACTCCATCTGTTTTGGAATTTCCCCATTTTTCCACAGCAGAATTATTTAGCTGAATACTGCCCAATAAAAGTACAACATTCAATAACATTTTCTAAAAACTGAATAAAAAACAAAATGATGCTGCATATCACAAATAAGACTGAGCAATGCAGAATCCAAAACATGGGATATTAAGAGTCAAGAGTCCACGAAAGCTTGGGTAAATATAGACATTTTAAAGAGACGATTACAGGTCACTACTGTCTTTGCCTCACAGATTACCTGAGGGAGAGCATTCCAGAGGGCGGCTGCTATCACTGAGAAGCTCCGATTCCACGCTGTCACCTGACCTTTTCTGTTATAGCAGTGACCCTCTGAAACTTTAGCAGGGCGGAGAATTTTACCAAAGATAAGCTCTGACAAATTAGATTATACTGAGCATTGTAAAAACTGATAGGTAGTATAGATTTGATATGGTATCTCCTGTGGAGCTAACAGGCAACTGATTCTCTGAGACACACAAAGCTGCCTTAAAGGAAGTCACAGGAGCTTGTGCCTGTATTCCACACACAATCCAGAGATCTATTGCACACGTTTCTTTTGCCCTGAAAAGTACTTCTTGAGAAACTGGTTTCATTCTGGAAATTAAAATTGCTGCATTACCCTGCAGTGTGTCTATCAGAAAACAGTTTTATGCAGTTCTGGTAATGTGGGGTGTACCCACACTTGCCCAGTGTTGTTGTGGATGGCTGCATACCAAGATCAGTTTCTGTGCTACAAACAGGTTAGTGTGGATGCAGCTTCAGTTGTGAAGACCATTCACTCATACTTGTGAATATTTTGTGCCATTCCCTCTCTCTCCTGACATTTTGAAGGGTTGTCAAAGCCCTAGTGGATGCTTCTTCCTATATGGCAAAGGCACTTCCTTTACCTTCTCTCCCCCCCCCCCACCTCTTCCCTCATTCTTCCAGGATGTTTATCAGCTCTGTTGCCATAACTGCTGCCATGATGCAACCATTGAGCAACTTTGCTTGATTCTTTCCTCCTGGATCTCTGTTCTCTAGGGTAGGAAACCGCTGCTTTCAGTCACTCTCAGTGGAGTAGGTCCTGCAGGAAGGAGACGGAGAGCAGGTGCAGACGAGTTTATTTTGACTCTGATTATGGCAGCACAATTGTCTCAGAAGGTGTGTGAAGGAGGATGAAGGTGTATGAGTGAGGGAGATAGACCTGAGCAATTGAACAGCCTAGTTAGCATGACAGGATGTTCCAAAGCTTGGGGACCATTTTGTATGTAAAGAGTTGAACTTACCTTGGATTCATTTATTAAATAAATAAAAACAATTTGTGTTGATTGTGGGCACAATCAATGGCTTGAATAATAACTAAAACAGCTCCTTTTCTGTTTGTTTGCTTGCCTGGTTGCCTGGAACGGATTCTAATCACCGCAGGCAAATAAGCAAGTAGCTACTTAAAAGCCCATCTTAGCTTCATGTTCGTGAGGAATCTGTTAGCTGAGACTGTTCTGGACTAGGATACCGCTGAATGTGATAATGAAATGTGTCCTTCATGTAAGAGAAAAAGAGAAGATGAGGCGAAAAGGGTGACAAATATTAAAAATGATTTAGAAACACATCCAGGTTTCACAGGAGAAAACAAAAATTGTTTCAGGAACTACCAACAGCTTGGCACTTTTTTCATACAATATTAACTATTAAAAAAAATGTTGAAGATTGACGAAAACAAATGACAACAATGTGACATTTAGTCATACCAAGTGATTCATTGCAGCTCAGTAGTTAATGCTGAGTTGTTCCTTCCTTGGCTTAAATTCCATTGTGCCAAGTTTTGGAAACACGCTGTTTAAACACTGTGTGTGACTACACGGTTTGCCATTTCTGATACAAACTTAACTCCCATTCTGTTTTCCTCCCAATACAAACATAAGTAGAGCCTGATGGATCAGGGCAATGGTCCATCTAGTTCAGCCTCCTTTTCTCCTGTGGGAAAACTGCAAGCAGAATTCAAGCATAAGCAAACTCTTCCCCCTTAGTGGTTTCCACCAACCAGTATTCAGAAGCATTACTGTCTCCAGCTATGGAGGAAAAGCATTTCCATCATGGCTAGTTGCCATTGATAGTCTTATCCTCCCTAGGTCTCCCAAACAAGCTGATATAAGAGTGTTTCTCCTTCGGAAAGGCAGACATGTTTTTAAATATAATATTAACTGTAACTGTTGTTGTTTTTCAGAATGTTTTAACTGTTTTAGAGAGTTTTTTCATTTTTAATTGTGGGTGTGTTTGCTGCCCTGCAGTCCTTCGGGAGGAAGGGTGGGAAACAAATTTTGGCAAATAAACCCATTAAATAATATGGGAATAAAACACATGGGCCTGCCTTTTGCCAAACAAAACATTGTTTTAAATCCATAGTACGGAAAGGGAGATCCTTGCATTATGCTGGCACAAACTCTGTATAATGCTTTCCAGCAGGGTCAGAGTGTAACAGTCCAGTAAACTTAGCTGGTGACAAATAACTGGAATTATTTTAATTGTTAAGCGCAAACAAAAACACCGCCCACCCACACCAAGGTTCTCCTGGAGCTGGAGAAATCAAATCCTGAGTAACCACTAAATAATCATTTTTGAAGTTCAATTTATGAGGGAACTTAATATTTGTAACTTTCTATAGTATAAAATATCCCTGCACCTTGTCTGTGCAGAGGAGAGGCCCTAGCCACCACTCTGAGGCTTTATTTTATTTTTTACAATCAAGTGATGTATAAATTTTATGAAATAAAATAAATAGCTCAGTGCTATTCAAAGACATGATGCCTACCAGGCAACAATACTTTGCAATGCTCACTAGCAACCACTCCATAAATTAAGACCACATTTGACCAGCTCTCCTCCCCCCCCCCTTCCAGAGCTAAGGAACTTTTGGCCCTCCGGGTGTTCCCAAACTTTCATCATCCCCAGTCAGAATGGCCAGTACTCAGAGATGATGAGGTTGTAGTCTAGCCGCATCTGAAGGACAAATTCCCCATACCTATTTTTACTAAGACAGCACCTCTGATCTAAGCATGTGCAGTCTGTTATTATATCAGCCAGACGTAACCTGCCAGAAGAGGTTCAAGCATCCTCACTTGATGAGATGTCTGGCTTGTGTGAATCATCTAACACTACTAGGTTGTCTCAAAGGGTTGTGTCCAACTAAATGGAGTGGGTCAGTGTATACTAACTGAAATAATTGACCCTAAGTTAGCCATGTCCATTCGATTCGATGGGTCTGTTGGCTACAACATATATAAGGCTGGCCTGCCCTCACATCCAGAGAGCAAGCAATGGCTTATCATATGTATTGCATTTATATCTTGCATTTCCGACAACCAGCTGAAGATCGCGCGCGTGGTTCTCTCCTCCCAAGTTTATCATCAGGCCAGCATTTCAGGCTGCGCGTGTGAACTCTGGAGATAAGGGCGGATTTAAACCCGAGCCTCTCCGAAAGCCAACGGCGGGATCTCCCAGCCATCCCTTCCGCCACATGCGGACACAAGATGACCCCGTTGGCCTGTCCACCTCAGCCCTGCCAAACTCTCCGTGTAGCCAAATCTCTAGCCAAATCCGGGCCCCTTCCGCTGTGATCTGAGCAGCAGGCCTGCGATTCCACACACGGCTCCCTTCGCAGATGGAAGAAAGCCCAGCTGCGCCACACCCGAGCCGGCGGCTGCCCGCGGGTTTCCTATTACTTCGGGGCATGACTCAACGCTGGTGTCTTCTCCTGGCCACCGGGGTGGGCGTTGCTCTCCCTCGCCTCTCCTTCCATTGGCTGCCGGAGCTCGGCGCCCACTCCGCATTGGCCGCCCTTCTCTTCGGGGGCGGGTCTCCGAGCGAGCGCTGCTGCGAGTCCCCTTTCTGGCTGCGGGGCTGCAAGTTGCGGGCCGCTTGTTTTGCAGCTGAAGCGGAGAGGGCGAGGAAGGGAGTTCGCGGGAAACGGGGTCGCTCGCTGCATCCTCTGAGAGGAGGGGGGAAACAAGGAAAGGACCCGAGCAGGGATTGGCAGCGCCGCGAAGTTCGCCTCAAGTCTCGGCGGGCAGCAGCAGCAGCAGCTGTCGACGGCGGGACCATGACGAGACTCGCCCTCCTGGTGCCTTTCGCCGCGCTGGTGCTGCTGGCGGGACGCGGCCGAGGTAAGGAGCGCTGCTCGGCCCTTTCCCCCTCGCGCGCCTCTAGCCTTCGATGCGGGGCGCTGCCCGACCCTCTCTCCCCCAGCCCGAACAAAGGCTCCGGGAGAGCGGCAGGAAAAGGGGAGTAGCAGCAGCCGCGCCCGGACGGGAGGCGCCGAAGGGGCGCCCACCCCCTGCCCGCTGCAGCGCCGCTCCCCGCCGCCTTTGTGCTGCCAGCCTCGAGGAGCGGGCGAAGGGAAGCCCCTCTGCACATCCTCGAAGACATCCTCTTCTTCGAAGGCTCGGCTTACCAAAAGAGTCCCCAGATGCAGGGCTTTTTTTCTGGGGGTACCCCTAAAATTTTTGAGGTTTTTTTGTACTTCTGTCCATTTAGTGTATGTATTTTTTCCGATTTGAACTATAAAATGGTGCTTTTCTGGAGTCAAAATGAGAGTATCCCTAAACATTTTTTCCCAGAAAAAAATAAATCACTGCTCAAATGGATCCTAGAAGGGGGGGGGGGGGAGAGGGAATGGGAATCGCAACGGAGTGACAGGCGTTTGATCCAAATTGGGCTGTAAGCAGCCTAGGCGGCAAGTTGTTTTTGTTATGTATTTATCGACACCCTGCCTTTTCCCCTGATAGGGACACAAGGCAGATAAAATAAGAACAACTGAAAACATAGTGGGCAATAATAATAAAAAAACCCCAATTAAACATTAGAGTCTGGGACACACTTCCAAGAAGAATAAGCTGATGGTTTATCTTTAGGCCACGTGGACAGGATCACACCCACAGGGGTGCCAGGTTGAATAAAATATTGGGGGGGGCAGGTAAGCCCTGCCCCGCCCAATCACATGGTGAGGCACACCCACACTATTTGAATGGCAGTGCCCATCAGCTTGGGGGGCCCTGGCCCTCTGAAATATGGGGGCAGCCCATGGACATAGCCAAGGGGGGGTCAGGGAGGGGCAGCTGCACCCCAAAATCAATAGAAATAAAAATATATAGCTGAGATTCTCCCCACCCAGCGAAAGGCCTGCTCCCCCCAACAAAGGTCTCCCCCCCAACAAAAATCCTGGCTACACCTTGGCCCCTAGGAGTTGGCTCCTGTGGTACCCAGGTGTTGTCCTAATATTGTAGAATTATTCTCCCACTTCACCCCTTAAGCTTGCTCTAAAAGGAGAGGGGATTGTGCCTGCATCATGTCTACATTCAAAAGAGATGTCAGTGTTAAGATCTCGGATAAGCATGTGTTTTTTGGCTTCACTTTCCTGTTAGACATGCCCACAGGTGTTTGTATGGAGCCTTTCCCCAGTTGTTTAAGGACCTGGTACTATAAACTTGGTACTGTAGTGCCTATCCCGATGCAGAGCGAATGGTACTGAGTAAGGTGGCTGGGTGGGAACATAGGGTAAAGTGTGAACTGGAGGGTGTTTGTGGAAATTCATTCTTCCTGTTGGCTATTGTGCCAGACTCTGATTTATTTATTTGCCACTAAACAAATAAACAAATAGGAAGGTAGCCTTGAAATCTATTATATTTTATGGGGTAGGCTTAACTGCAACCTAATATTCTTTGGACTTGTATATTTTCACTGGGGGAAAGGCAATATAGAGTGCAGCCCTATATAGGTTTACTTAGGGGGAAGTCTCACTGAGTTCAGGGGGCCTTGCTCCATAATAGGTGCATTTAGGATTGCAACCTATGTCTGCTTTAAGCTTAGTTATGTTATTGTTGAATAGTGACAGAGGTACTGAAGGAGGATTTTCCATGGCTATGGAATAACCACTCCACGAGTATAGAAAATGCAGTATTATTAGCAGACTATTAACATACAGTGGCGTAGCGTGGGGGGTGCAGGGGGGGGCCAGCCACACCGGGCGCAACATCTGGGGGTTAGGGGGCACAAATCCACGGGTTAGGGGGTGCAAATTACTTGCCTTGCCCCGGGTGCTGACAACCCACGCTACGCCACTGTTAACATACAACGGGTCCAGTTAAGGCAGGCTTCCTCAACCTCAGCCCTCCAGATGTTTTGAGACTACAATTCCCATCATCCCTGACCACTGATCCTGCTAGCTAGGGATCATGGGAGTTGTAGGCCAAAAACATCTGGAGGGATTGAGGAAGCCTGAGTTATGGACTAACTGTGACTGCTAGTCACATTATTTGAGCTGACTTCTTTGGAAGACATTTATTATGAGGATGAGAATTGCCCTTTATGTGATTCAATAATTGGGAGGGGGGTGCACATGATGCTAGAATTCCATCCTTCTGTGACATCTGGGGACCCCCCCCCGCAATCACCACAGTTTTTGGGGAAAAAACATGTGCACACCCATAGGTGAAGGATGCATACAGCTGTTTTGGTCTTTTATGTGGTGGAGTAGATCTAAGAGTGCTATTTTAAGTATGACAATATATTCACACTTAAGTGGTAATCTTTGTCAGAAGCAGCCCTGATGTACTGGAAGAACAAAATTGTCTTCTCTACAGCATATTATTCTATCATCATTGTCATCATCATTATCATTAAAAAAAAACCCATTTGTAACAGGACTTTCTTCCTTGGAGATCAGAGCCTGGTTATTGCTCAGGCTGCACATGATGTTTTTCTTTCTTTTTATTATCTAAAGTAGTCTCTCAAGCTGCAATGCCCTGTTGGAGAGGGGGGAACATTTTAACCCATTCCATTCTCTTGCTTTTGCACACCTGCAAATGGTCCTAGAGCTGTGTTTAGCTTCTTTATTCTGTCTTCCCCCCATGAACTACAAGCAGCTATGTGTGGACAGTAGCATAGTTAGTGGTGTGCACCGGGAGTAGGAGGGCTGTAGGGTGTCACGGGGGTCTATAGGGCAGCACGGGAGGGAGTGTGGCATGGGAGCTGCTGTACCTGGGGATGGGATTCTGTGCCTCAGGGGAGCTTGCAGGTAGCACAGCAGCTGCTGGGCATTTCGGGTGCTGTGGGGTAGAGTGGGGGTGGAACTACTTCCCATCCCTGAAATCTGCAACTGCCCTAAACAAACTCAGCAACTGTGGTCTGCCCCAGGTGCCGGTGGGGGTTGCTGCACTCTGCTGTGTGTGTGGTGAAAAAGCATCAGAGAGCCAAGGGTTAAAATGTTCTGTGACACACCTCCTCCTCTTTACACTGATTAGCATCATGTTCAGTTTGTCTCTTAGCTTTAGAATGACCCACTGAGTTAAGTTAGTCTAAAATATTCTACTGACTTGACCAAAAGCACTCCTTGAACATTGCAGCTGAGCCATGTTGAAGTTGAATGTATAGCAAGTTGAGCAGTGCAGTTGTTTTGCTCTAATTGCATTAAGTTTAACCAGACAGGGAAATAGCTTTCCTTGAATGCCTTTCCATTTTGGAATTCTGGCCCAGATAAATTCCCATTTTAGGCAGCGCAGCTAGCTACACAGCTTTTTGAGTACAGCATAGTTCTCTGTTACAGGACCAAGTTTTAAAAATGCATTTACTCTTTGTTAGGAGAACATAGGGAATCCTTATTCTATTAGAGACCTTAAAAAAAGTTTAATACCATAGTTTATTATCCACCACCTAAACAAGTTTATTTGGACATAAATCTAGATTTCAATGGTACCTGTATCTGAGTAATATGCTTGGGATGGCTGCCTTGAACTTTACAGTCTTTCTCGGCCCAAACCATTCATCTTCCTGCTCCTGTTCCTGTTCCTGAGAGCCAGTGTGGTGTAGTGGTTAAGAGCGGTAGTCTCGTAATCTGGGGAACCGGGTTCGTGTCTCCGCTCCTCCACATGCAGCTGCTGGGTGACCTTGGGCCAGTCACACTTCTCTGAAGTCTCTCAGCCCCACTCACCTCACAGAGTGTTTGTTGTGGGGGAGGAAGGGAAAGGAGAATGTTAGCCGCTTTGAGACTCCTTAAAGGGAGTGAAAGGCGGGATATCAAATCCAAACTACTCTTCTTCTTCTTCTTCTTCTTCTTCTTCTTCTTCTTCTTCCTAAAGTGAGCATTATAGTTTTCCAATAAACAATTTTAGAACTGACTCGCACACATGTAAGTACTGTACTTGGATCCAACTTCTGTGTGACATGTACCACCTCACTGGAACTGTTATGACTGTTCACTTACTGTATGTTAGGCATATTAATCATTTCCTTGCCAACTATCAAACAACAAAGTCCTACAGTAGTATGTAGGTTGGCAGGGAAGTAATCTGTACACATATCGTTTTGCAATTAAATGTTTTCTCACTTCTCCTTGCAACAATGGGCAAGTATAAAATAATATTTGTCAGCTGGTAACCTGCCAGTGCATGTGCATGCTGCATAAGCACAGGCAAGATGCAGCGCTTCCTCTGGATACTTGGAGAGACTTTTTGTGTTATTCATGAGGCTACAGTATGACAAGTGAAACATGGGGGAATAGAGAGCAGCTGTTGTGCGAGTTGTCATAGATGGTTGCCTATTGCTTCTGTAGGCAAAATCCCCAATTAGGAGTGAGACCAAGCAATAAAATGCAATGATTAACGGGAGCAGTTAGGAACATGGAAAGCATGCCTTCTACTGTGTCAGAGCTCTAGTCTATCTATCTGTGGCCTATGCCTACACCAGAGGTGGGGAATTTTCTCAGCCCAATGACTTCATACCCTCGCGGCAGCCTTCTGGGGGCTGCATGCCAGCAGAGGCAAAAGAGGCAGAGCAATGGAGATGACTCTTGTCTTCGTACAGTAGGGTGTATTCCAGCCACAAAATGCCTGGGTTTTGCACACACTTCTCCATTCAGTCCAGCAAGAGGCATTGGTTCCAGGACTCATTTCAGCCAGGCAAAAGCACTTGAAATGGGCAACAAGCATGGCTGCTGGGGGCCGGCTTGGGGAGAGTCCTGAGAGCTGGAGAGAGGCTTGGGGAGTTGCATTTAGTCCCCACGCATGAGGTTTCCCCATCCTTGGCCTACACTGACCCACAATGGCTCACCCAAGTTTTCAGAATGGGGACATTCCCAACCCTGACTGGAAGCTCCAAGGATTGAACCTGA